TAAATATATATTTATCACAAATTCATATGTGATTTGGCTTAATGGTTAGGCGGGTCCATCCTACTATTAAACAACTTATACTATCAAATCATACTTTTGTTTATTCATGTCATCCACAAAATACCATTAATGCTAAAATTGCCCACACATTACAATTTTCATCCCCATGCACTTAAATAGTGAACTCTCGACACAAAACTAATTTTGCCTACATACAAATAAATAATACCTACTCATAAACATAAATTATTTAGCTCACATCACAACTTGATTTTCCCAGTAATTGATCTGGTTATTATCCTCAGCTACTTCCCAACACTCTCTAATAACATCAACAACACTTGAAGACCAAAAGTGATTTTCAGGGACCAAATTCCCGAAAATGCCCTTCACCTCATCCCGGCCCATATAGACGTGATCATTCTCGTTACGAAATGGGCCGTCGAGATTAGGGGCGTAAACGTCTTTTCCAGGGTCGGCCCAAGCCCACTCCATGAGCACGTCCAGCTGGCACTCAGACGAATAAGATGGGTTGGCAATACTAGTGGCGGTTAGGGAGTTTGGTGGGCTAAAGAGGTCGAGTTTGGACCGGGCTTCAGCTTCGAGCCGGACGGTCTCCCATTGGGCCATGTGGCGGATAATGTGGGAGTCCTTGGATTGGGCCTGGCCATTGGGCTTGTGGGTAACTGGGTCGATACCTATCTTGATCAGCCTCTTCTTCAGGTGGGTGTTCCAGTAGTTCTTTATCTGGTTATCGGTTCTTTTCGGCAAGTGGGTCGCTATAGTTGACCACCTATTTGTCGAAAAGTGTTAACAACTTTAGTACCAACAAATTAAATCGCGTCACATTAATTCGATTATATATTTAGCTATTAATTTTAATGTGGAACTCAAGCAATTAGCTACATATATAGATGTCACACAATTGTGAAACTAAACAATATATATATTTATTACTATTGAAAATTAATTTTGTATATTAATTGCAATTGAAGTTAAATTAATTTTGATGCAATATTTTTATAGGTACCTGTTAAAAAATAAAATAAATTTTATCAAGTAATTAACCAAAAAATAATATTTTATAGGCACCTGTTACCAAGAAGGGCATGAAGCTGAATAATTGTCTCATCTTCTTGTAAGGTGAATTTGCCTCTCTCAATATCAGGCCTCAAGTAATTAGCCCATCTCAGCCTGCAACTTTTCCCACATCTTCTAAGCCCTATACACATATAGTATAAAATAAATTCAAAGGCCCATATATCATATATGCATATGTCATGTAATATAATATACATGCACATTGTT